CCGAAAGTTAATAATTACTATCTCAGGTTTGGATTTTAATAGTTGTCTAAGACTATGTTTCTTGTATTATGATTTGAAGACTGAGATTCTTGTGTGTATGGTTTTCATTCTTTTTAGTTTTTGTCCAAAAAATGATTTGTGGGTTAAAACCACAATAAACTATCTACCTCTAAACTCTAAAGAGTTAAGTTACCTTTGGCTTCCATCGCCTGTTGTTTAACAAATGCCACATTAGTTGCTGAAATTTGCAGCTTAAAGAGCAAGGAGATGGAAAACAACACATGATAGTAAGATTGGGTCTTTGTGCGGAAGGCGATTACGAACTGCAACCCAAGTTAACAATTTCATGTCGAGGTACACTTGCAAGTAAAGTAAAACAAACAAAAATCAATCCTATGTAGTAATTGAGAAGTAGCTATGGCTTAGAATTGTTCTCATGGTGGTTGATTACTCAACATTTAATCTAACAATCTTGCAAGAGGGTGTTAGTTACAGTAGACAGAAACAAAAACTCAAGCCTTACTATTCTTCAACTGGTTGCTGAAAAGCTAATCCCTTTATTACATGTCGACACTGAAACCTGCAATGGTACCGAGGGCATTATCAAGATTCGGTGAATAACTAACTTGCTTAGTCTGGAACTGAGGAAGGTGAAAGAAACAATACCATATTCGATCATTTGTGCCACAGTTGAGAGTAGAATTTGTCTCGTTATCTTGAGTTCTGCACTTAAATCGCAACTTCAGAGGCACAAACTGCAATAACAAAGGACATAATGTTTCAGGTGATGGAAGTTGAAATCTTCTATTTGGATGAGTGGACAGAATAAGCACAAGTCTATACCTTCCTGTTGTATCTGAAGTCACGTTTAGGAAGGAAATGTTGAGGAAGATTCAAAGAAGATGGAGCATGAACCAATATGAAGAGCCTCATCGGACCTGCAATTACGAAGAAGTGTAATGCATCAAATTTACACTCTACACTATAATACCTGACAGTTTATGCAATGGTATACAAAACTGATGAGGTTTGAGATTTCTGCAAACTTACCAGGGCAGGAAGTTGACCCAGCACCAGTCGAGATCAATGCTCGGATAGTCTATAGCCAAAATGAGTTAAGGGATTACTAACCTTATATCACTTGTTATAGTACATAAAAAGAGAAAAGGAACAATTCCAAGTAACATGAACTCAGAGGTAAGGGGAAAAAACCTTTTTTGAAAGTGCTTCTGCAGCTTTGGATTTAGCAAAGTCGACTTCATTGCTCAGAACATGATCATTGTGTGCGAATAACAACTCATAAGCTTTTTGAGGTCGTAATGGACTACCACCAAGAATCAACACAACTCTCTGAATGCCAGGAGCTTCACGGATCATTAACTGCAGGGCATTTCGGAGGCTAGAGATGGTGTTCATCAGTTTCTTCAGTTTCTTAATTTCATGCTTCACGTCTCTTTTTCTACTCACGAGTTTTCTTCTGACCAGTGGCTTCACTTCAGGTTGCGTAAGATTCGCCTCCTACACCTAAGATTCTTAGCAATGTGAAAAAAATACATGAATGGTAAAAGCGTAAATGGCGTCTGTACAATAAACATACCAAATCCATATATTCTGTTTGCAATCCCTCAAATTCAAGACTCATGTCTTGCAACACCCTGCACAGATGTGACCAAGAAGCAAATTGGTAAAAGAGCTTTGAGAGGCCAAAACCAAAAGCTGCAAATTTAAGTCTCTAGCTTTGTTTGCAGTATGTTCATTAGTTCTGAAATCAACTGGAAGTAGTGTGCATAATTGATCAATCTGATAAGCTTCTTAAGTTATATTCACAAGTTTTTCGCAAGAGGCTGAATTTAGCATATAACGAACACATCCCAGTGAAGAAAAGTTCCTTAAAGCATTTCAATTTCACTTTAGAATTTGAACATAAGTCACCTACTAAGACTTGATATCTAAACTCACACTAATTCATCCCAAATCCAACAAATCCATAACCAGAAATCTTATATTCTTCTAACAAAACCAACGAATCGCGTGAATTCGAACGCAATAAACAGTCTAATCCGCGAAATTAACGGAGAGATGGAAGAACAATCAATCGCACCAGATCGAACATCAAACAAGGATAAATCGAAGCATATAGATTAAGGAAAAGAGGAAATTAACGCACGAAGGGATCTGTTGGTGCATATAGAGGACGAAACCGACGATGTCATTGATGATATGGAAGACGCCGGAGCCGCCGAGTGAAGAAGCAGTGGTCGCGATGTCTACGTCGTAATTCTCCTCTGTAGTTCCTTCTCCTTCCGCCATTTCCATTGTAATCGAAAGCTTTGAGAAGATGAGAAACCTGCGAGAGAGAGATTATTGTTGTGTTGCTCAAGAAATTTGAAAAAAAAGTCAGTAGGCGGGGGAGAG